ATGCTTCACATGCATGTTAAATGAGTGTGTATGAGAAAGAAACAGAAGATCAGAGAAGGTTACAAATTTGTTCATGTAAAATATAATAGAACTTGTATAAGTGCCTGACACCTATGCATGTATCAATATTTTGCATAATGAAGATAAAAATAATTACACACTGCAGTTCTCTAGATTCCAGAATGTGTATCTCATGGACACCTTGACCTTTGGGTCTTCACAGCATACATAAGTCTCTGTCATGGCCTTAGACACTAACGTTTGTTCTCACATGGAGACCATGGTTCTTGGAGAACAGACTGGGATTGCCTTATTGCTAATCTCCAATGTCTACTCCACTTCTTCATATTGGTAGGTGGCCAATTAGCATTGTACAATGACTGGAGAGTCTACATATCCTATAGATTAATTAATAATGGAGGAACTAATTTTATAATTTCTAATTTTTGTGTATTTACTAAAGTGTATTTGTTATTTCATAACAATTTATAAAGTAGATAGGAAGTTTAATCACTCATCAGAAAATTGAAACTGAAATCAGTTTAAGTATTTACCTATGAACCACATAGCCAAGACTTATAGAGCGCCTCTTGCAACTTGATATATATCATATCTATACCACATTAGTATAATGGATTAGAGTTCATAGTTCATATGCATAACTCCATTTGGCTAAAGCTCAATGAATGGAGAACAGGTATCATCGTCTTACATATGAACACTGAGCCTCACAGAGTTGAGAGTAGTACCTAGCTTGCAGAACTAGCAAGATTAGCAAGTTTTGGAAACGAATGGAACAGTTTCTATCCTAATCCGTTTCACTCCATTTCAGCAGCTTTCCAGAATGAGAAAATTAGGTATAACAGAGAAAGGAGATAATTTGCTGATAAGGAACGCCCTGGAAGACCTCAGCTCGGTTAAGGAGGGAAGATGGCCAATGCTGGGAGGAGGCATGCTGAAGTGAACACAGCTGGATGAATTGGACAAAGGAGTGCATCAATTGCATAATGATGTGTAAGTAACAGCATACCTGTTGCATGGAAACAGCACCTCTTGACTGCTATGTTCCCCTCAAATTAACAACAATACTCAAGATACCATCCATTACCTTGTAAATTGACAAAGAAGTTACTTGAACTCTTCAGCATAAAATACAGCATTGTATTATTCATAGACCTCCATGGTCCTTTTTAAGTATGTTGTCGTAATTTTGATCAAAAATATTTACCAAATTATCCAGCAGAGAAAGAAAGTCATGAATGAGCAACCTAAACTCAGAGTATAGAAGCAGAGGAAAGAGAAATCCCATTAATGGACACAATCAACTCTCATAAAGTCTAAAAAAAATTAGTTATAAAAGCCACATTGAACCAAGAAAAGAAAACACAATCACATAAATGTGTTTCAATTAATAAGGTTATAGAGATTCACACATTTAATAAGAATGGCAAGTCACAATCAGTCATTCATTCTTAATGGTTGAAAATTTAGGAGTCTATCATTGTTTTATGCACTTGTCCAGTGCAATTAAAAAAAAAAAGAAAGAAAGGAAAGAGAGGAAGAGAGAGAGAAGGGGGAGAAGGAAGGAGATGAAATAAGGGAAGGAAGAAGATGAAGTATAATGTTAGAAAAAAACAGAAAGCAACTATCAGTTATTCAACATTACGTATGATTTACTAAATAACACCACAAATAAACTTACAAAAATGGAAGAATTAAGGAAATGAAACAGATGATGAATTGTATAACAATATCATAAAGCTAGTCACTTCTACTGCAAAAAAGGACAGTGTAAAACACATATATTAATTCAATTTAAATAAATTCAATATTGACACTCAGCCACAACAACATTTAATTCAGAGTAAATCTGTAAAAACTGAGATAATTGATAGAAAGATTATCAAACTTAAGGATGAACAGCAAAGAAGCATAAAGACAAATGAAAATTACCCCATCATTCTCGAAGGAAAGATATGTGAAGATATCAGTTCTCCAAACAATCTAAAACTTAGTGAATATAATCAGGTTCACCAGTAGGTTTCACAAAAATAAAACTACAGGCTGATGATAAAATTATGTGGAATATAAAGCCCAAGTATACCACAAGCACTCGGTCGCTAGAGTAAGGGCAGGGATTACCACTACGACATTAGCAACCACTTATCTGAAATGCTGTATAATTAAGGCCAATACGGAATTGGATGCTGCTGAGGAATTTCGACTATTGGAACAGAAAAAAGAATTCAGATTGACCTACCAACATTTATACATACTTGACAGGCAGCCTTGTCACACAGTGGTGTGAAACCATAAAAATGGCCTGAACCGAACCATGCAAGCCATGCTTGATATGTGGAAAGATTATGATGATTTGAGTTACTAACAAAACCATCAAAAACTGGTCTTACTGGATTAAATGTATACCGACGACATAGCACATCTATATTTCCGGTTAGGAGCTGGACCCCATACTATTAAGTGAAGTTTTCCCAAGACATGGAAAAACAAGCAACCACATAACTACCAGCAAAATTGGTATAACTGGAAAGGCACCATAAGTGTTACGATAGGGCTAGTTAGATAGAGGTATTGGCAGGTGTAGGGGAGGGGCGGTATATTACATCATAATTAGGTTGAGAGTGTGCACCATCGGGAGGATGGTCATGATGGAACTCAGACTGTGGAGGAGGGGAAACGGGCAGTTATTGAAACCGCTTAAAATCTGTACCCCCCATAATACTACCGAAAATAAAAAATAATATAATAAAATTTTAAAAAAGATAAAACATTGAAAAAAAAATGCAAACACGTAATTTGAATTTAAAACACTAGAACATTAAAAATTAAAGGTTTTATTTCTTGCAAAATTAAAAAAACTTAGGAATAGTTTGAAGGGTGCCTGCCTTCTTTTTCCCACTCATATAAATTTATGCCTTTTTCTATGTCTTAGCAAATTATATCAAAATTCCTTTCTAGATTGAATCAGCTTTCAAAATCTTATCCCCTTGTGCCTTCACAACTGTCATAAAATATTGCCGAGAGTTCTTTAATGGGAAGGTGTTACTAACACTTCACCCTTTAGGCACACGACCACGTTTTCTTATTTGCAGGCACAGTTCATTCCTCACTAGGTTTCCTCTGTGTGTCCAAAGTTCTCTCAGAAATGTGTGGGCAGTTCAACATCCCCCAGCCATACTTTTTCTAAACATCCACTGTGTTGAGATTGAACTTCATTCTGCATTATCACTTTTCATTTCTTTTTGATGCACTTTCATCTTTAAATACGTATTGCGTAACGTTACAGTGTTCATCCACTGGTAGACAGGTGGCAACACAACTAAGACACTTTTCTGTCTGTGTGTGAACTAACAACAGACCCAAGCAGTGACCCAACACTAGCAGACAATTTTGAAACAAATGACTTGACGGTCAGTGATCAGAATGGGCATCTATTATCCATCGTTGATTTGCAGACTCAAAAAAGCTTCAGCAACAGTTTGTGATTTCATACCAATTAGAGTCCATTGTTAGCATGGTAATCGAAATTGAACTACTGTCTAGGGGACTTGCATTATTAGTTAAATCATTGTAACTGGAAATTTGTGGATATGGATAACATTGCAAAAGCAAGGTAGCCTGTATAGCACATAAAGCATGACTTTGTAGAACACTCGGTAAACATGGAATAGTGTGATAATGTGGTAGTAAACTGGTTTATCCAAATGAAGAAAATATAAAGGTATTAATATTGACTCCACAGAATTACAGGATGAATATAGATAATTTATTTTAAAACAAGAGATTCCTATTCACCATTGTGTTCTTATATTGCTGAATAAGTATCCATGGTATAATGCATACATCATTTGTATAATCCACTCATGCTGCTTGATATTGCACTTGGGGTTGTTCCATAACTTTGCATTGTGAATCGTCTGCTATAAACATCCAAGTGCAGGTGTCTTTTTGTATAAAGTGCTTTGTTCCCTTTTGGGCAGGTGCCCAGTAGAGGGATTGACTGGATCAAATTGTAGATTCTACTTGTATCGCTTTAGGTACGCCGTTCCTTTCCACAGGAGTTTAGACTAGATATGTAGTCCCATCAGCAGTGTAGGAGTGTCTATCCTCTCACATCCCACGCCAGCATTTATTGTTTTGGGGACTTTTTGGATAAAAAGGCATCTCTTACTGGAATAAAGTGATTCTCATTCAGTTTTGATTTGTATTTCCCTGATGATTAGAGATGTTGAAGCATTTTTTCAAATATTTGTTGCCATTAATTGTGTCTTCTCTTGAAAAGTTTCTGTTCATGTCCTCGCCCACTTTATTGATAGTGGTTGTGGTTTTTTCCTTGCTGATTTTCCTGAGTTCTAAATATATACTAATTATCAGCCCTCATCGATGTGTAGCATGCGAATTATTCTCCTATTCCGTAGGTTGTCTGTTGTCTCTGTGACAGTTTTTGCTGTATATTTTCCTGGATAGTGCAGGAACCCATTCTACTAAGTGAAGAATTCAAGAAATAGAGAAACAACAACATATGTACTCACCAGCAAATTGGTATTAACGATCAAGACCTAAGTGACATATAGGGAATAACATTATCGGATGTCGGCAGATGAGAGAGGGAAGGAGGGGATGGTATATATATACATAATGAGTGCCATGTGCACTGTCTGGGGGATGGTCATGCTTGAAGTTCTGACTCAAGGGGGAGGAGGGGGCAAGGGCAATATATATACCTAAATTTACCACCATAATAGTGTGTGTGTGTGTGTGTGTGTTTGGGGCTCTGGGGTCAGACTCCTGGCTCTTCTGTTTATCTCACTCTCTGAGCTTGGACAAGTCACTTGGTCACTTGGCTTTTCCATGTCTCAGTTTCCCCATCTGCAAAATGTGGGTATTGATAGTATCTACCTCATAGTGGCAGACTTGAGAGTCAAACACAGGTGTCTTGGCTGTCAAAAGCCACCATGAGCTCTCGTTGGCTGGTGAATGGGTTTTATGTCGTGTGTAATTTGAAGGACTGGCAGAAGCTGCCTGTGCCACTGGGTTGACAAGTATTCGAGGGGGAAAAGCGATTAAGGGATGTAAGACATCTGCCTGGACATGCATTCCCTGCCTCACACTCTGTTGCTGTCCACCTGCAGCCCCGTGACCGGCTGCAGAAGACCCCAGCAGGCACACAAGGACCTGCAGGAAGTGCGATGGGAACACAAGGTAATCCAACTGGTTCGGTTCTTTCTACATTTTCTTATTGCTATTATGGTCATACTGAGAAAGACATATCGTTTTCTGAGAATAAGACTTCCACTTTAACGTATGTTGCATAAAAGTATTTTGCATTAATCAAATGTTATTGGGCACCTTTTCAGTTACTTTCTACAAAGGCTACCTATTTAAATGTTTTAGTAAACATAGTAGTTGTTGAGATTTTCTGAAAGAAAAAGGAGAAGTTAGAGGAGAGGGAGCAAGAGGGGGAGGATGAAGAGGAAAAAGAGAAAGAGGAGGAGTTCAAGGAGGGGCGAAGGGAGCAGCAGTATGTGCACCCCAGGTATTGTAGGACGACCTTGGCCAGTTGTTGGCCGATGCTGCCAGTGCATTCTCCCAACACTGGAAGTTCTCAAAAGCACTGAATGTGCCCAGCACAAACTGACCCTCTCCGGGCATTTGCTCCAGTCCAAGCAAAGGGCAGACGCACCATCACGATCAGACTTTTGAAGCATAGTGGAGCAAGGGCCCCAAGTGGGCCCTTTCAGGAGGTGACTGATCCAGTTTTTCCTGCACTGTGGCTGCCTTCTGGTAGCAGTTCACACTCAGTCTTTCCATCATCTCGGTACTCGTCTAACCATCTGCCATGGGAAGAGGGAAGATAATTAACATAAGAGAGTATTAAAAGAAGACACATTACTTAGAAGGAAAAAATATGAAAAGGATTTAAAGAAGCCTTCAGAGAGAAGCTTACATTTTTAAAAAGCATTTAAAAATTTTTGAAAAGCAAGCCACATCAAATTACCTTTAGGAGTCCAACCTCAGCCAACCTTTATCCTATACTCAAGTTTCAAGGTCATATTGGTTCATTCTAAAATTTTGGCTTTTAGAAAAGTCCTATGGTAACATCACAAACATTATAATATATCTTAAATTGGAAACATTTCTCATTTGGACTTTCCCTAACGTTGGCTGTTATTTCTCTCCTGCCCATGTGACTAGGAGGTGTATACACTGGCTAAATCCTCAGACTCTAGAGCAGCACCCTTCAAGAGAAATAGAACATAAGCCACATATTGTAAAGAAGTAGCAAGAAAAAGGTGAAATTAATTTTAGTATTTTTCATTTCCACAAATTCAAAGGAATATCATTTCAACATGTAATCAATATAAAAATTACCTTACATTCCTTTTTTATTCTACGTTTTTGAAAACTGGTATTTGTCTTACACTTATGGCACATCTTAATTCAGAATAGCCCCAGTACAGTAGACACAAGTGGCTTGTGGCCCCCCCTGTGGGACAGTACAGTTCTAGAGTCAGACGTACTTGGATCTGAGTCCTGACTCTACCAATTATGTTTGGATAAGAAAATTACTCTCCTTGTGCCTAAGGCTTCTTGTCTGTAAAATAGAAGTATCACAGAGTCTAGCTATAGGTTTGTTGTGAGGATCAAATTCGTTCCAGTGTGAGGTTCTGGTTTCACCATGAAGCCTGTTCCTTGGTAAGAGTTCGAGAAATGCTCGTGATGCATGTCCTTCTGACCTTCTCTCCAGCAATACACAGGACGGGGTGGAAACCTCCGACAGTCCACAACAGCATAGACCCCTCTAGGTTTTGGTTATTTTTAAACTCCACTATAAAGGTATAAATGACTTCTTTCTCAGAGACCCTTTCTTTTCTCATAATTATTAATAGAAAGGGATTTGAGATTAAACAGTTGATATGTTTTGCTGGGGAAGACAGTAAAACCTGTATCTTCTAAACTCTCCAAAATCTACATAGAATTTTCTGGCAAAACCATTTTTTAACAAACTTAGTATCTTATGCAGGTACCTCTTTCATAGAATATAAGTCACAAAATCATGGTGATACAATAGAAAAAACATATTGATAGATACTACATTAAAATTTTCCACAGTGCCAAGGGACCAGGAGACCTGCTCTCTCACTCATCTATGAGTTGTGCATGTCATTAATCTTTTTAGGTCAATTTTCTCATCTGTCAAAGCATAAGACTGAATGTTATCTATGGTTTCTTCTACGTCTGATGGAATAGCAAGAAGGCTTTTTTCTTTTCTTACTTATGTGACCTTGGGCCCTCAGGGAAAACGAGCAATGAAAGCTGTTAACTTTTACTGCTACAGTAAAACTAATGACAACAGTGCAATGATAAGCCTGTGTGCAGTTTGTAATTATACAATATAGTATAATCTAATAAAACATCTTAAATATCTTCACCTGCATAATTTTGTTCCTATAAATCCAATTTCCAAAGTTTGTAATTATTCTAAAATGTAGGAATAAGTCACCTCCATCTTGACTTCCACTTCTTTGCTTTGCCAGTGAAATTAATTTTGGCTCTGAAAAGAATGTGACTATTATCACCTGCTCTTGATAACTTTTGATTTTGTTAAATATGATGCATTTAGAAAAATAATAATCTTTTATTTATTCCTTCCTTATTTCATAGTTACTATCATATCCAGAGCAATAAAACTATATTGAATTAAACATAGCTTCATATGATACCAAATATCTAGACATGGTATGGAACCAAATATTATATATATGATGACCAATATAGTAGTCATTAACCATATGTGTCTATTGAGCATTTGAAGAGTAGTTAATACAACCAAATAACTGAATTTTTTTATTTGATTTGACTTTAATTAATTTAAATTTAATTAGCTATATGTTGCTAAGGGCTAACATATTGGACTTTATAGATACATATTTTTCTAAAAACTAAAAGTTAGTCAATTATTTGGAGAGCTCTAAATCCTTGACATAGGTCCTAGGAATAAAGGTAAGTTTTCCCCCTTCATTTGTGTGTATAGTATTGTATCCGAAGATTTATTTTTTAATCTAAAATTGCTTCTATGATAATAACATTTACCATCATGGAGCCAGCCGCTAACAATCACAAGACAGTTCTGTAGATAGTTTAATGTACATTATCTCAAACAACTCTACAAAATAGGTGTCATTACTGCCATTTTACATGAGAACAAACTGAGGCTCCCAGAGCTAGTCAGTAATGGTGTTGTAATTCAAATGTAGTTCTAAAAAACTTCAGTCTTTGCTCCTTGAACTCCTCACTAATTAATAAGATTGCTTACAAAATAGATATAATGTCTGTCCTCAGAGCTTAAAGTTTATAAAATGACAATAACTACCATGCTTCACATGCATTTTAAATGAGTGTGTATTGAGAAAAGAAACAGAAGATCAGAGAAGTGTTACAAATTTTGTTCATGTAAAATATAATAGAACTTGGTATAGTGCCTGACACCTATCATGTATGCAATATTTTTGCATAAATGAATGGATGAATAAATTAATGTACACACTGCATGAGTTCTCTAGATTCCAGGAATGTGTAATCTCATGGACACCTTGACCTTTGGGTCTTCACAGCATACATAAGTCTCTGTCATGGCCCTTAGGACACTAACGTTTGTTCTCACATGGAAGACCATGGGTTCTTGAGAACAGACTGGATTGCCTTATTGCTAGATCTCCAATGTCTACTCCACTTCTTCATATGGTAGGTGGCCAATTAGCATTTGTACAATGACTGGATGAGTCTACATATCCTATAGATTAATTAATAATGGAGGGAAACTAATTTTATAATTTCTAATTTTTGTGTAATTTATCTTAAAGTGTATTTGTTATTCATAACAATTTTATAAAGTAGATAGGGAAGATTTAATCACTCATCAGAAAATTTTGAAAACTGAGAATCAGTTTAAGTGATTTACCTATGACCACATAGCCAAGGACTTATAGAGCGCCTCTTGCAACTTGATTATATCATATCTATACCACATTAGTATAATGGATTAGAGTTCATAGTTCATATGCATAACTCCATTTGGGCTTAAATGACTCAAGTGAACTGGGAGGAACAGGTATCATTCATGTCTTACATATGAGGACACTGAGCCTCACAGAAGTTGAGAGTAGTACCTGAGCTTGCAGAACTAGCAAGGATCGTAGCAAGTATTTGAGAAACAGAAATGGGAACCATTTTCTAAGTCCTAATCCAGTTTTCACTCCATTTCAGCATGCTTTTCCAGAAGAGAAAAATATTAGGTATAACAGAGAAAGAGAGAATAATTAGTGCTGATAAGGAACAGCTTCCTGTGGAGAGAAGCCTTCAGCTCTGGTTTTAAGGAGGGAATGATGTCCAATGGCTGGGAGGAGGCATGCTGAATGACACAGCTGGAATGAATTGGACAAAGGAGTGCATAATTTTGCATAATGACGTGTAAAGTAACAGCATACCTGTTGCATGGAAACAGCACCTCTTGACTGCTATCTTCCCCTTCAGACTTAACAACAATACTCTCAAGATACCATCCATTACCTGTGTAAATTGACAAAGAAGATTACTTTAACTCTTCAGCATAAAATATACTAGCATTGTGATTTTATTCATAGACTCTCCAAATGGTCCTTTTTAAGTATGTTTGTCAGGTAATTTGGGTACAAAAATATGTACCAAATTATGCCAGCAGAGAAATGAAAGCATGAATGAGCAACCTAATTACTCAGAGTAGTAGAAGCAGAGGAAAAGAGAAGATTCCCTATTATGGACACAAACTCTCTATAAAATTCTAAAAAATAATTATTTAAAAGCACATGAACCAAGGAGAAAGAAAGAAGCAAATTCACATAAATGTGTTTCAATTATATTAAGTTATAGAAGATTCACACATTTAAATAAGAATGGCAAGTCACAATCAGTCATCATTCTTAATGGTGAAAATTTAGGAGTTATCATTGTTTTATGCACTTGTCAGTGCAATTAAAAAAAGAAAAAAGAAAGAAAGGAAAGAGGAGAGGAAAGAAGGGAGAGAGAAGGAGGGAAGAAGGAAGGAATGAAATAAGGGGAGAAGGAAGAAAGAATAGAAGTGATAAGTGTTAGAAAAAAAGAAACAACTATCATTATTCAAAGTTGATATGACTTACTAAATTAAAACCACAAATAAATTACAAAAAATGGAAGAATTAAGAGAAATGAGAACGATGATGACATTGTATAACAAATATATATAAATCTAGTGCATTCTACTGGCCAAAAAGGAAGGGTTAAAAAACATAATTAATTCAATAAAAGTTTCAATATTGAATCACCACAAAAATTTAAGATTCTAGAAGTAAATCTAAAAACTGATGTATAATTTATAGAAAGATTATCCAAACTTAAGGAGTGACAGCAAAGAAGGCATAAACAAATGAAAAATTACCCCATATTCATGAGAACGAAGATATTGTAGAGATATCAGTTTCTCACAAACCAATCTAAAACTTCAGTGTAATTAAATCAGGTTCACCATAGGATTTCACAAAAAAAAACAATAACAGGCTGATGATAAAATTTATGTGGATGATAAAGGCCCAAGTATACCACAAGCACTTCGGACCTAGAGTAAGGGCAGGGATTCACCCTACCAGTTAGCAACACTTATCGTAAATCTGTACTAATTAAGGCAATACGGAATTGGTGCTGGCTTGGAGAATTTGACTATGGAACAGAAAAAAGAATTCAGAATTGACCTACCACATTTATACAAACTTGACAGGCAGCCTTGTTCAGCACAGTGGTGTGAAACCATAAAAAGGCTGAGACTGAAACCCCCACCCCGCCCCCCCCCCCCCCCCCCCCCGCTCCCCCACCCCCACACACACCACACACACCCACACACACACACACACACACACCACCCCCCCCCACCCCCAACCCACCCCCCCACCCACCACCCCCCGACCACCCCACCCCCCCCCCCCCCCCCCCCCCCCCCCCCCCCCCCCCCCCCCGCCCCACCCACACCCCCCACCCCCCCACCCTCGCACCACCCACCACCAACCCCCAACCCCCCCCCCCCCCCCCCCATGCCCTCCCCCGCCACCCCACACACCAAACACCACGCAAGCATCTTGATAATGTGGAAAAATTATGATTATTTGATTACTTGTAAGCAAAACATCAAAAACTGTCTTACTGTGTTAAAAATGTATACACAGACATAGCACATCTTATATTTTCCTGGTTAGAGCTGGACCCCATACTATTAAGTGAAGTTTCCCAAGAATGGAAAAACAAGCACCACATATACTCACCAGCAAATTGGTATTAACTGAACAGCACCTAAGTGGTTACTAGGTGCTACATAATAGGGTATTGGGCAGGTGGGAGGGGAGGGGCGATATACATACATAATGAGTGAGATGTGCACATCTGGAGGATGGTCATGATGGAGACTCAGACTTGTGGGGGAGGGGGAAACGGCATTTATTGAAACCTTAAAATCTGTACCCCCATAATATACCGAAATAAAAATAATAAATAAAATTTTAAAAATGTATACAACATGAAAAAATAGCAACACTAAACTTTGATTTAAAACACTAAGAAACATTAAAATTTAAAGGTTTTATTTCTTTGCAAATTAAAAAACTTAGGAATAGTTTGAGGGTGCCTGCCTTCTTTTTCCCATTATATAATTTATGCTCTTTTCTATGTCTTAGCATTTCAAATTCCTTTCTAAGTTGAATCAGCTTTCAAATCTTATCCCCTTTGTGCTTTCAATGTCTAAAATATTCCGAGAGTTCCTTTAATGGGAAGTGTTTACTACACCTTCACCCTTTTAGGCACGACACTTTTCCTTATTTGCGGCATCAGTTCCTTCACTAGGTTCTCGTGTGTCACAGTCTCTCAAATGGTGGCAGTGTCAACATCTCCAGCATACATCTTCTTCTAGAACTCCACTTGTGTTAGATTTGAACTTCATTTCTGGCATTATCACTTTTCATTTCTTTGATGCACTTTTCATCTTTTAATTACGTATTGTCGTGACCGTTCCAGTTGTTCATCCTGGTAGGACAGGGAGCGCACCAACTAACACTTTTCTGTCTGTGTGTGAACTAACAACAGACCCACAGTGACCAACCTCAGCAATTTTGAAAAAATGATGTGACTGGTCAGTGATCAGAATGGGCATCTATTATCCATGTTGTGTTTGCAGACTCAAGCTGTCAGCAAAGTTTGTATTTCATCAATTACAGTCATTGTAGCATGGTAACTGAATTGAACTATGTTCTTAGGGACTTGCATTATTTAGTTAAATCATTGTAACTGAAATTTGTGGATATGGAAACATTGCAAAGCAAGGGTAGCCTGTATACAAAAGATGACTTTGTAGAACACTCGGGTAACATGGAATGTTGATAAATTGTGGTGTACAACTGGTTATCCAAATGGAAAAAATTAAAGTGTATTAATATTGTACCTCAACAGCAATTCGATGGATAATATATTTAAATTTTAAAACACCGAGATCCTATATCACCATTGTCTTATAGCTGATAGTACTCCATGGTATACATATACCACATTTTATTAATCCACTCATGCTTTGATAGGCACTTGGGTTGTTTCCATAACTTTGCAATTGTGAATCGTGCTGCTATAAACATTCAAGTGCAGGTGTCTTTTTTATAAAGTGTCTTTTGTTCTTTTGGGCAGGTGCCCAGTAATGGGATTGCTGGATCAATTGTAGATCTACTTGTATCGCTTTAAGGTATCTCCGTATTCCTTTCCACAAGGGTTAGCAGATTGTAGTCCCACAGCAGTGTAGGAGTGTTCCTATCTCTCCACTCCACGCCAGCATTTATTGTTTGGGGACTTTTTGATAAAGGCCATTCTTACTGGAGATAAGTGATATCTCATTGCAGTTTTGATTTGTATTTCCCTGATGATTAGAGATGTTGAGCATTTTTTCATATATTTGTTGGCCATTATTCTGTCTTCTCTTGAAAAGTTTCTGTTCATGTCCCTCGCCCACTTTTTGATAGGGTTGTTTGGTTTTTTCTTGCTGATTTTCCTGAGTTCTAAATATATACTAATTATCAGCCCCTCATCGGATGTGTGCTGCGAATATTTTCTCCTATTCGTGGTTGTCTGTTTGCTCTTGTGACAGTTTCTTTGGCTGTATATTTTCTGGATAGTGCAGGACCCCATTCTACTAGTGAACTATCCTCAAGAATAGAAACAAGCACATATGTACCTCACCAGCAAATTGGTATTAACTGATCAAGACCTAAGTGGACATATAGGAATAACATTTATCGGATGTCGGGCAGATGAGAGAGGGAAGGAGGGATGGTATATATATACATAATGAGTGCCATGTGCCTGTCTGGGGATGGTCATGCTTGAAGTTCTGACTCAGGGGAGGGGGGCAAGGGCAATATATATCACCTTAACATTTGTCACCCATAATGATCGCTGAAATTAAAAGCATCTTGGCTAGGGCAGTTAGGAGACAGACTGCTGCAGGGCTGGCTTAATTAATCGGATTTGGACATTCATTAATCTCTAGACATTCAGTGGAGGAGAACTCAGTGGTGATGTGGATGTATCATTAAGGAACTAGATTTTAAACAGCCTGAAGTATGAGGAGGATTGCATGTCAGGAGCATAGTTAGAATAGTCGGTCAGTCTAGAGAGCAGGAAAGGTGTATTTCTAGTGCCAGCTGGGCAATATATTTGCATGCAAAAAGCAAGTATTAGCAGTAGGATTTTAAATTTAAAAAAATTAAAAAAACAACCTTAAAATATATGTATGTGATTAGAACTTACAGTCACACATCACTTAACGATACTCAGGTATACATACTGAGAAATGCCTGTTAGGTGTTTTGTTAGTTTTATGAACATCATAGCATGTACCTTCCACAAGCCTAGATGGCACAGGCTACACACCCAGGTTATTGGTATGGCCTATTGCTCTTAGCTACAAACGTGTGCAGCATGTTATATACTGAATCTGTAGGCATTGTAACACAATGGTAAATATCTGTGTATCTAAACATAGAAGATAATGCATTGTGCTACCAATTACAATGGCTATGATGTCACTAGGTGATAGAAACTTTTCAGCTCCGTCATAATCTATGGAACCACCATCTTACATGTGTCTCTTATCTACTACCCTGTTCATGCTTGCACATGATTATACATATATATTAATATATAAAATATATATCTCCCTCAATAGATTATATATATATATATATATGGAATACCCTAGGGGTAGAGAAGACTTTCTTCAGCAAGACACAAAATGTGCTGATTGTCAAAAATAATACCATATTGTTAAATTCAACTACATTAAAATCAAGAATTTTAGTCATCAAAATATACCACAAACTGGAGAAGATGCTGTGGCAGTCTCTGCTAGATGCTCTCTCATTCTGGAATTTCTACAGAGCTGGAGCCCACTTTTCCCAGATGTCTTCGCAACCATAGACATGGCTAATGTCTTAGTAACGAAATGTGGCCAGAAGTCCTGTGTGCAGTTT